ATTTTTATTTTTTTTTATTTTTGTTTTTATTTCTATCATCTTTTTCATCTATTAGGATTTGGATGGGAACTTAATTTACATCAATTCGAGCATCATTTTACTCTCTCTATTTATAATCCAATTGCCATTTGATGGCTATGTTGCTGCTGTCCTTTCATCGCTCTCCACAAGTCTTGTGCATTGAGTCTTTTGTGTGGGCAGTAAAAGCATTTGCACTGTTACGTAACGATACGTCTGTGCCGCAGCCACTGTTTGCGCGTCACCTTTTACCATTTGTGGCAATTCCATAGTGAATGCTTCTCTACGCTGGCAGACCACAAATTTTTCATTCCATAGTTGATTGCTTTGCCACCACTTCCAACGGATGCGTTGGCGTAGTTTATGCTGATGTATTGGTCTTTCTTCTACTTGTTGTTCTTGTTGGTGCTGTTGTTGCTGTTTTTGCAGTTGTTTTCGTATTTGTGTTGATTGGTTTGGTCGCTCTTGTAATAGCAACGCTGTTAGGAATGCCAAGAGCAGTAGGAATGTGGCTGATGGTGGTTGAACTTGTGGTGTGGCGTGTCCATGATGCATAGCAGCGGGATGTTCACCTGCGCAAAAATGACATAAAGTGGTTGCATATAAAATATAGTGGTTTGCATTTTAATGTTTATATTTCTTTGTTTCATATAAAAATACAATTTTCCAAGAATTATTGTGGGTTGTGGCAATGATATTAGAAACTGATGGACAGAATTAAGAAAAGTCACTCAAAAGTTAGTTGCTTCAAATCGTATTTGTTCGAGTGTATAAAGCTGGGGTACAAATTATTCTGAAAAACGTAAGGCATTAAATGAAAAAGCCAAGGGATTCTCGATATTCGACATTTCAATTGTAACATTTTTTTCCTCGGACTGTTGCATGGCACGACTCAGCGCATTTTATATCGAGAACTCAAATTAAAATTGTAAAAAATACAGTTTGCCCAAGAGCTGGAGCCACCGAACTCTCCCAAGTATGACAACATCGCTGTGTTTTATGGGCGCTTGAAAAGTTCTTTAAAGTTCCGACGTTTTCGAGACATATTTTGTTGGGTGATCAGATCCATTTCTGGTTCATTGGGTATGTACATAACCAAACTTGCCGCATTTGAGACCAAGAGCAATATGAAGGAATTCCCGGGCTGCCATTTCATACTGAAAAAACCAACGCTGGAAGCATCAATTCATATTTCTTCAAAAAATGTTGCCGGTGAGAACGTAACCATCAATGGCAATCGCAATGGCGCCATGATAACCAACTATGTGATGCCTGAAATTGGCGCTTGTAATCTGCAACATTTGGTTTCAGCAAGCCGGCGCCACTTCCCATGTATAACATTAATCAAAGGGTTTTATTGCGAGAACACTTCGGTATAAAGAAAATTTGACGTTTTGGGCCGGTCGTTTAGCCATCAAGATCGTGCCATATCACACCGTTAGGCTTTTCCCGTGAGAAGATATAAAGTTTAAAGTCTATGCAGAAAATCGCGCTTAGCTTCATCTACGAGAAAACTGCTGTGGAATCAAAAAAAAAAACAATTCCACCAATCGGCAACGAGTTAATGGAATATTTCTTTCATGGTATTTACCTAAAACTATAAATTTGTTTTCCATTTTTCCTTGAAAAACCTGGCATTTTTTCTGTTTTTTTTTTACAAATTGATTTTTGGAGTGAATCCATTCTTCACTACCCATTTTGAAGCCTTCCTAAATTCTTTACTGTGGTAAGTACTCGCAAGTTAAACGCAGGCCTCACACCTGCCAGTGAGCATCACTATCAAACATTTTTTTTTCTCCTCTGTGCCCTTCCAACACATTTGACGTTTACTTCCGCTGAACTAAATAGTCTTTAACGCTGTTAATATTTCTCCAGTTTTCGCGTACTAAACGCTGCGTCCATACTCATACATACACACAAGCATCCCGCAACTAGTAGATAATTAACGGCTATTAGCGCAAATAGCGCATTGCGCCACTTTGATGCCACATGAAGTGAGGAAGTGATTGCTCTTACAGAGTGAAAGTGAAATGGTTGTTTTGGTTAGGGTTAGCAAGCGGATGTGTTGTAATTATGTTGGTTTTAAGAGTCAACTTCTATGTACATACTTATAATGTGCAGACATATAGGTATATGTATATGTCTAGTAGATATATTCATATATATATATGAAAGTAAAAGCACTAAAACTATACTGTGTAGTCAAAAGTCGTGCATAAATCATGTAAATGGCCACGTAATTCAAGTAAAAGCTTAACGCTACACAACTCGCAGCAACTCCCACAATCTCCCCATAGCTGGCGTTTGTCTACATAACGGACTAATAAACGTGATGTGCATAAAAGTCGATTAATTAGCGAATAGTAAATTAAGTTGAATTAAGTAGTAAGAACTTGGTGTCTACTTTGCTTAACGAATGCGGGGAGTTGAGTGCAAATTTCGTGAACGTGAGGCATTTGTCTGATTAAAAATAAGTTACTTCAAAGGCAATACGACTGTGAGACGAAAGTGGTTCAATAGGGTACAAATAATACTAGTTATAATAATAGTTATATTACCAGTTATAATACTAGTTATAATACCAGTTATAATACTAGTTATAATACCAGTTATAATACTAGTTATAATACTAGTTATAATACTAGTTATAATACTATTAGTGAGATGTAGCAGAGTTTCGAAGAATTGGTATTTTCATATTATATGAAATCAAAAATGTAGAACTGTCTTCGACCAGGTCACAGTCTTTAAAGCTTTCACCTTTATATCAAATTTATTGCAAGGATTGAAATTCCTGAAATACTGAGTGACTAGTTTGCGTGTAAACAGACAGACAGATGGACATGTCTAACTAAACTCAGCTCATCCTCCTGCTCATATATTGTAGGTTTAAGTTTAGATTGGTCTATCGCTTCTTCTTTTCGTACTTACAAATTTTGAATGAAGGTCTTAACTTTCCATTTCATTTTCATGCTCGTGATAGTGAGTTCTTTTGGTTGAAAATAAGTTTCCATACATGAGAGAAAGCTTGAGGGTAGAAAAAAAATTCTCTTGATGGGATTATAGACGCCCTCTAAGGACAGTAGTTCCCACCCAGGCGCTACTGTAAGCAACGGGGAATCCCTTGAAACTATTCATTAAGATTTGAATCCCACATTTGGGCAAATCTTCGTTGGCTCTGTGAATACTATAAAGCTTGATTAGATAAAGGCACATATGTGTATATGAGACTAGAATTAGATGACACTGTTATTTATTTATTTATTTTTTTACATAGTAGAGTATATATCAATGATGCGACCGAAGTTTGTTTTGTTTTACTTCTCACTACTGCTGAAAATACAACTACAATAACTGCTAAGCTTTGAACTCCACTGTGGAGTGGTTCAAACACGTCCATTGGCAATAAAGTATAAATTACTCCAAAAACTTTGGTTATTTACTGAAGTTGGTAAAGTTACATGTAGAAAATATGCTAATTCTCACAAACATACATCAATAGAGTACGCAGTCATAAAACCGAACATTTCTATATATTCAAGGGTATTAATCATAAGCAAGTGACCAAAAGTGCGTCAACTCGATCGGCACTTATTCCAAAACAAGCAGTTACCCGTGTCATTCCATGGGAGTGATTTATTGATCTCAACTTTTAGGCAGTTAATCTTTTCAATTGCAAATTCACCCATTATCAGCAAATACATATTTACTCACCATCAACGATGTGCACCCGCACCGATGTCGGATTTGCGTTCGACGGCGTACAGGTGTAGAGTCCTGAATCCTGTTGTATGGCCTTCTGCACCAGTAATCGACTTGTGGTGACTACACCTTTTTCAGTTACCAATGATATACCGCCGCGTGGTGAGTCAAAATTTATGACCTAATAAAAGTGGTGAAGAGAATACGAAGTGTTATTGCAACAATAAATGGATAAAATGGGAAAATTATTACCCTCTTGAATTCTAAGCATTGTAATTAGCACACATGAGCAAATTAACACTGTGATTTCGATAAATTATTAATAAAAGTAAATAAAATAAAATAAAATGAAATGAAATAAAATAAAATGAAATGAAATAAAATAAAATAAAATAAAATAAAATAAATTAAAATGAAATAAAATAAAATAAAATAAAATAAAATAAAATAAAATAAAATAAAATAATATAAAAAAGAAAAAAAAAACAAATTAAAATTTATTAAAATAAAATAAAGTAAAACAAATAAGATATAATAAAATCAAATGAAACTAAATTAAGTAAATTAAAATTAAATAAAATATAATAAAATAAAAATAAAGATAATATGGAATTTAAGTAAAATGATATCCTGAAACTTTTTTTTTGTCATTTTGTAGTTTGCATAATTTTCCAGGGAATTGAATATTAAGTTACTGTGCTTACACGTTGCGAGAACTCTTTTGTTGTTTTTATTATACTACTAGCATGTATGATGATGATGTTTGAAAGTAAAACATTTTAGTCATTTATTTGGTCTATCGTTTGCTTTTTATGTTTTTCTACATTTTAGTTCTTTTACTGTGCATGCATGAATGAATGTAATGTGTATGCTAGAGGACCGTTAGTTGACCCTTGTCAAATTTCACATTTATTTGTCAAGTAAATGATATATTTTTATGACAGTGGGAAATCAAGCCCTGCTACTTCTAGCACACATTTCACAAATACAAATATGACAAATGGATATACATACTTAACTATGTCCTTTAGTAATATACTAGAGTACATTTTTATTATATGTAATGATCATATGTACATACTCGTATCATAATATTTTTATTGCTTTTATGGTGTGGGAAATAAAAACGCCAGAAACGGCAAAGCTATGCTATTAAAATTTTTTAAGTAAAAAATCTGTACTTAATTTGACTGAAGTCTACTTTAAGTCTTTATAAATTATAGTTCGTTTATTTGTTGTAATAATTTCCACTTACCTCTCGATTATGCGACCAAATGACTGTGGGCGGTGGTTCTGGTGCAAATTTTACAATGCAAGTCAAATTAATTGTGGAACCTCGATTTATATGTAACTCCGGACCGCCGATTACTTCAGTGATGGGTTCTGAAAGATCATTTAAAAAAAAGAGATTCTCTATCAAAAATTATAAAAAAAAAAAAAATATTTTTATTCGAAATACTCATATTCTATGAAGCTGAAATAGTTTATTTTTTCATCAATTTGGTATGCATTCAGCAATTGCTTGAGCTCTATGACATTCTCAAATGAATATTTTTCTTTCCACAAAAGAATTATTCACTTTAACGTGTTTAACTGTCCATCTGCCTAATACTCACATGTCCTCGTGTATTAAAAGCTTAATTTCTCATTTCAGTGATTTATAAACAAAGGCAAATACTGTAACAAATAAGCAATCTAAAGATTACGTGATTATTTGTTCTATTTTCGAAAACTCATTCAGGCATGGCTTTGCAGTTTCTTTAAGTTTATTGAGAGCTTTTCCGCCCCGAGGTAAGCAAGTGTAGTCAATACTCCAGTGTATTGCACACTCATTTTCCATATGGCAAAAAGATTTTCACATGAAACGGAATAAATAAACTAAAAAGGCACAAAAAAGAAAAAGAAAAAAAAAATACAATAATAACAAACGCATGCACGCAGTTTAGCCGGAAAATCCTTTTTTGTTTTCTAAATTAAACGATTTCGTGTGCTGCGGCGCTGTTTATCCAACCAACCAGCTCATCATCTGTTGGTTGCCAACTGGGTTTACCAAAAAATTTGCTTTTTCATTTCCATGATTTTCTTTGTTTCCTTATTCTTTTCAACCATCTTTCCACTATTCACGTGCACAAGATTGCTTATCGTTCTCTTTTTTCGCCCACTTTTTTTGCGTTTTATTCTTTTTCTTCTCGTCGTGTGCAAATCTTTGCATTGTCAGGCGCAGCTATAATTTTCGGGAGGCACCTTCACGCGCCACAAACGAGCGTTGGTGGTCTGTGCGTGTGTGTATGTGAGTGCGTGCGCGTGGTGTAGACGCAGAGATGACTAGCTATTGGCTGGGGTCATGATCTCTGCGGAAATTATGACCTTATGCTTTTAATTTGCTACGTTAATATGCGGCACATATGTATGTACATATATACATAACCCACTGGATATAATGTTTTTATAAGGGTTATTAAATTTCTACAGCTAGTGGCTATAAGTAGCAAAGTAAACTGTGGAGTTTGAGTTATAGAAAATAAAATATATATTGAACTTTTATCATACTTCATGATATTGTGAGATGATTCGCCTTTTTACATATGTACGTCTACTCATACGACCATCTACAAATAGCTTTCGGTCCATATGTTTGTCTTCTCGTTCATCATATGATTTAGTCAACCCTCCCTTTGACCATTTGCCCTTTCATTTATCCACTTAATCACCCACATGCCAGTCCATCTATTCATCCATTCATCTGCAGCTACATTCATCCATATCTCTATACGTCAGTCTATTCATTCGCCAAGTCCACCTGGTCATTCATCAATTAATTAGTGCTTCCTTTTATCTTTGTATGTATCCATATATCCTTCCATACATCTGTTCGTCGATTTATCTGTCAATCTGTCTATACATCGATGCTTCCATTTATGCAATAATCCGTACATCTATCCAAACGTTCGTCTACCCATCCGTTTGTAGATCCATCCGTTCGTCGGTCCATCCGTTCATTGGTTTAGCTATCTATCCATCTATATGTCCATGAATCCATTTGTGCATTCATCCTTCATCCCTACGTCCATTCATACATCTATCTAAACGTCCGTCTACCCATCCGTATGTCGATCCATCCGTCCGTCGGTTCATCCATCCATCTATTCGTCTATATGTCAATGCAACCATTACTGCATTCATCCATCTGCCTATCCATTCATTTGCTCGTTCATTCATACATCTTTCTAAATGTCCGTCTACCCATCCATCCGTTTGTCGATCCATCCATTTGTCAGTCCATCCATCCGTCGGTCCAACCATCAATCCGTTTATACATCCAAACATCCATTTATGCATTCATCCATCTGCCTATACATTCATTTGCATATCCATCCGTTGATCCATTCGTCGGTCCGTCTTGTGTGCATATGCCCATCTGTCGATTTATTCATCCCTATGTCAGCCTGTCCATCTATTTTATCTATTTATTCGTTGATCCATTATTTCGTCGGACTATCCGTCTGTAAATTCATCTGTTTATTCATACATCCGTACTTCCATCCATAGCTACGTTCGTGCAGCCGTCTATTACATCATCCTTCGGTCTATCCGCCAACTTGTCTATGCATTCATGTATCCTTTTGTGCATCCGTTCATCGTGCGATTTATTCATACTTTTATACATCTGTATATCTATCGTACGTATTACATTCATTTATTCGTCTAACCATCCGCCGATTCATTCATCCATCCATGCATCTATTTTTAAGTTGGCACATCGTTTATCCATTTGCCGCCCATCCATAAAATATATCGGTAGGTCCACCAGTTCAATGGACAATCTGACCGTTCATGCTTCCATCTTTCCAGTCATACATCGTTTAATCTAACCATTTGAACACTATTTTCGTTAACCGCCTATGAGTTTCCACCAAAAACCTTCTGAGATAAGAAACTATCAAACATCGTTTTTACCTTTGAACTGAACAATCCATTTTATAATATATGGCCTCAGCCGAACAGGCCACTTCCTTACTTCTTCACTAAATTCTACATATGTACGTACGAGTGAGTATGCGTACAGTCTCTCGAGTCGTTTGTGCCGAGTTAGGGTTGTGTGTGAGCTTACGGTTGCGGGTAACTGGGCATTTGGCAAATATGTTGAGGGAATTGTGAAAATTATTTAACGGCGAAAAAGAAATATTCATATTAACTAGCATTATGAATATAAAATGCGTAGTTTGTGTTGGAATTTTATGCTTGTAAGTTATGATAGGGCAAAAAATCGTATGAAGTGCCTTCTGTGTTACTTAAAATAATGTGAACCCTCAACGAAGCGTTTCGCATCTTAAAGGGTTAAGTATGATATAATATTAAATTTCGTTGATGAAGATATTTTCTGTATTTGCTTACTCTTTTTTTTTTTTTGCAGTTTTGCTTGCTTTTAGCTTACAGCAGGAACTTCTATTCCCATTGTGACTTGCCCAAAGGGATGCATGAGTAATATTGATATTTTCAAAAAGTTTTGTTTATTATTTTATTTATCATTATAAATAAAAATGATTCTGCTTGAACGTGCCCAAGTTAACAGTGATGGTTTGATACACAGTGGCTTACAGATGATGTGGCAGAAATTAGTTTTTGGGTCAATAAATGGGAATTAATAATAATAATAATGTCGAACTTTTCTGAAAAAAATTGTAATGTAATAATTACTATAATAAGGATTAATTTAAATTTTAATTTTTTTTTTTCGAAAACTTACTTAAAAACGAAACAAGGTAAATAAACAGAGCTGGAGAAGAAATATAGCCCTTAATATATATATATGAAATTCACCAATCATCATGGTTTATGCCTCATGAAGCGTCACAGATCACTTCCAAGGCTGAAATTCACCAAAAGAAGATTATGCTGTCAGTTTGGTGGAATTGGAAGGGAGTATTATATTTTGAGCTGCTTTCAAGGAGCCAAACGCTTAACTCAGATATCTACTTTGAACAACTGGACAAATTGAAAACATATATCAAATGAGAAGCGGCCAAACTTGGTCAATAGTAAAGGTTTCATATACCAACAGGACAATGCTTGATCGCACAAATCTTTGGTAAATCGCCAAAAACTTTAAAAGCTTGGCTGGGAACTGTTGATACATATACCGTAAAGTCATGACCTTGCAACGTCAGCCCACCATTTCTTTGGCTCTTTGCAGAGCTCATTAAACGGCAAAGCTTTCGAAAATGAAATGAGCCTATAAAGGTCAGTAGTCTTATGAGCATGGATTAATGATGTTGCCGCAAAGATGGCAAAAGGTCATCCTACAAATTGGAAATAACGAAACTTATTCAAGTTCATTATAGAGTTTGAAAAAAAAAAAATGTATTTACTTTCTTATAAAAAATCGCCGGTTTCCTTTGGAACATCCCATCGATAATACCATACACGGCGTGCTGAGCAGGCTTGTCTACGACACTCGGCTAAGGTGTGTTTTGAGGCCTGAAAATGTTTTTGTTGTACAGCGGCTGCTTGGCATTGAACCGTCGGTCATTTCTATTGACTTTTCCCTCAGCACACTCAAGTGACGAAATATCGCTTTTTGCTGCTTAGGAAGTAGACTCACACCTTTAGCCAAAAGCCAGACGCAATTCGAAATTAGTTAGAAAAGACAGGCGGCAAATATGGAAAAAGTATATCTGTATCCTAAATAGAAATTTTTAGATTTTCTTCAGTAACCGACTGACCAAAGATGAATTCGTACGGAAATTCATAGCAAATATTTCTGCCGTCGAGTAATTCCAAACTGGCCGCTTTCGAAGTAAAGAAAAAAGAATGCGCCACCTGTATGTTCTTATTAATCAAGCTAATTTTGGTATAAAACCGCTGAAATTAGTTTTGGGCAGAAATTGCCAGTCTACGTTTCTGTGGCAGAGGTGAAAGTTATGTATGTATGTATGTTTGTATAACGGTATGTGTTTGAAATTATGTGCTTAAGTAGATTATGTATAGCAGATTTGATTGTGTATGGGTATTTGCGCTTCTGCCAGCGGCAGCAGGTGCCATTAATAGGGAAACATTAATTTGACCTCGCCTCGGTTGCGCCTGTTGTATTTGGCTATCTCAGCTCACTCGTCGTCGTTGCAGCGACAGCAGCAGCAGCAGGCGCGCAAAGTGTTTCGTGTGGTCAGTTAGAGGATTATGGTAACGGTGGTATTTGGGGCATCGTTGACAGCTTGACCTAATTAGGTATATTTTTTAATTATGAAAATTTATTGGTGGCATTTTAAGTAGATGCATTGTTGTTGCAATTTATGTAGTATATTAGAACAAAGCGAATGGAAGGAGTGTTTGTGGTTGAGGGAAAAAAAACATAATACTAATAATTTATTATATTAGAGGGTATC